ATACACACCACAAAAAGGAACTACTTAGGGGCCTCTGGGTAATCATGGAGCAAACCCGCTTCCGCTGCGTGCTCGGCTCGAGAGTTCAGGAACCCCATAGCCCTAAATCCTAAACCGCTCCTTTTGCACGTGCATGCACCTGTCATGGCGGTAGTCTCACGTATTCGTACCGGATTCTACCTTGCTGGATGTGCCTAAATCCTAAGGTCCTAAACCCTAAACCCTAAACCCTCAATCCTAAACCTTAAACCCTAAACTCATCGATTGCTGCGATGCACTGCATCGGCAACCTCAGGGCGCCGACGCCCGGCCTTAGGGTTTAGGGTTTAGGGTTTGGTGGCTTAGGGGCTGTCTTCGAGAAATAATGCGTGCAGATGATGAGTTTCGGGTGTGGTTTAGGGGTTGAGGGTCTAAGTTCGCGAAGCGGTATTCACACTGTATATTACGGGTCACTCGTCATGGGTTTAAGGTCTGTGAATGTCCGTGCTACGGTCCGCAATTTTCTGAAACTCGCAGCTTCATCATGCCTCGAGATCTCAACTAATCCAGTTGCGTGTCCGGGTATAGATGGCGAATGCGATTTAGGGTTTAGGGTTTAGGCACTAAACCCTAAACCCTAAACCCTAAACCCTAAACCCTAAACCCTAGACCCTAGACCCTAAACCCTAAACCCTAAACCGTGAACACTTCAGGAACCACCTGAAAAAAGAGCACCCTCTTGCCAACCCCTCCCCCGGCCTTCCAAAAGCTGACGTGCTCGCTCCTTAGGAATCTCAGGAGCTGAGCACCCTAGCCCAGAAAAGGTCTAGGGTTTAGGGTTTAGGGCTTAGGGTTAACCTTTTCAATTATGGGATAGTAGACCCCAATAAAAAGTTGGGAAACCGGATTAAGGACACTTAGTCCTGGGATTCCCCTAAACATTACTCTTAAAGCTTGAGGCTATGGGGCTTCCAACCTCTCCGCTTCTACTGTACGTAGGATTACTTAAGCACCAGTAGGTTCAGGGGATACCTACAAAGCTACTTAGAGGAGCTACCGCTTTAGGGGTTTAGGGCCAACTCCTTGAAAAGGCAGCTCCTTTGGGATGAAGGTCGGATTCATATAGCGCTTTCCGGATCAGGGGTTCGGGATTGGAGATCCGGGAATTCGGACTTACTACCTATAGTCTCCACTGTAGTTCCTTGTGTTGGTTTAACCAGTTTCTATTTGGGATGCGATACGGCAACCCAAAAACGGAACCACAATGGAGACAATAGGCAAAAACCTTGACCCTAAACCCTGAACCCCGAAGTTTCTTAAACCCACAAAAACCCCTAAACCCCAATCCCCAAACCACAGACCCGAAATCAAGGTCTTCCGGGGCCGCAACCTGAGCCCTTCAAAACCTACCTTTCTTAAGAGATCCTCATGATGGGCTTGGGGCTTCGGGGGTTTAGGGTTTCGGGTTTAGGGTTTAGTTTTTGGGTTTTGGGTTACTGGTAGTGACTTCTTGATAGTTAAAACTCCATGACGCCGGTAATTTGGGGGCCTAAACAAGCAGAATAGGGTTTTGGGACCCAAGTATACTGTCATTCTGGTAAGGCACCCCCCCAAAAGAAGATAGGCAATTCTTGAGGCCCCTATGGAGACTCTCGAGGATGTTTGGGTATAGTGTTTGTTAGGGTTTAGGTGATGAAAGAGAGCTGTGATGCCAACTTCTTTCATGTTGCTCGCTGGCTCTAGGCACGTGACGTTCAAGTTTCATGCCTACGGCACTTCTCAGTAATTCACGTAAAGAGCGTGCTAGCACAGGCCCCACGGGCAAACACAGTACAGTTGAAACACCCCTTGCAGGGGCACTCGTACAGAGCCAGAAAAGGCTACACTGCATGTCAAGGACATGACACCATAGTGCCCTTGAAGGGGCCGGCATTCATGCAGAGCATGTTGTGGTGTGCTAAAAAGCGTGGTTTTTTGAGTGCTTCGTTTGTTTGCCATGGCTTCTGCATTTCCCGCTGATGCTCAACATCAGCAGGTTATGAGCGCCCAATATGCGGAAGGGCCCAGACTCCAGGGTGAAACTGAGGGCCCTAACTATAGTGCCTTTCAGGGGCAACCTGAGCAAGCAGCTGGGACTGCGGAAGCTTCGCAGATGAATGGGCACCCTCCTCCTCCTTCTCCTGGGATGATGACTGCAAGGGCCGAGGAGGCGGGAGCGCATCGTGGCGATGTGGACCCGCGTGGGTCAGAATATTCACCCGATGTGCCTTTGTTACCGGGTGTAGCTGGAAGGGAGACGAAGCAGACCTCTTCGCTGGATGGTGGCGATGCTTCTGGAATTGGGCCTCGGCGCCCCGAAGCTCCGGGAGTAAGTCCCGCCACTGGGCAGGCGCCTGTGGGAGCGACTCGGACACAACCTGCGGGTGCGTTTTTCCTTCTCCTCTTCTAGGCGGATCACCTGAGTCGGCAGAGCATGGGCGTATGGGTTTGGAATCAGTTACTTCCCGTGCAGCTACATGGATGTCAAAGTTGGGAGACTTGTTTCAGCAGCGTCGGGTTGAAGTGCATACAACCTGGAGCCCGGCTCATCGGGCGGAGAACCCATGGCTGGAGCAGCGGCCGTTTGTGGCGCCGCCTTTACAAGCAGAGAGAGAGGTTCCCAGGGAGGGAGCCAGATCTACCCCGCCGTCCACTGGGTCGGCCACTGTACCCTACGAGCTTGTGCAAGCAGAGGTGTCAAAGCAGCTTGAGGGTGCTATGAGTGAAATTTATGGTACAATGGTTGGAAAGTTGGAGTACGAGCGGAAAAAGGCAGAGGAAGCAGAGCTGCAGGCGCAGGCCCTGCGCGAACAACTGGAGGTTCTGGAAATGCAGACAAGGGAGCTCGCTAGGGGAAGCCAGCCTCGAGAAGAGGGTTTGGGCAATGACTCCGCGTTGAGGGCCCCGCCGTTGTCTACAGTACAGGAACTTCTACATCCTCCTGCCTACAGAGCCTTAACGTACCCACCTGCCGAACCTCCTGGGCTAGGTTTAAGGACATCTACGAGTTTGCCTATGAGCAAGTCCAGTTCTATGCCTATGCCGGTTACAAACTATATGATGCAACAAGAAGAACCTCAGCTACAACAACCCCCCGCCTCGTCTGCCCAGGACCAGGGTGTTGATCCTTCGCGGCCTCCGGCGGCTGATGCGGGAAGAGGAAGACGCTTTCTTCAGGGTCTACTGGGCTTTGGGACTGGTGGAGGAGCTACAAGAACTAGTGGGCCCACTCCTACGTCAACGGGGGCTCCACCGGGCAATCCAAGGCAACCTCCTGCAGTGGCCTCTACGAATATTGCTGGTAGCGACCAGGTGTTGACCGCTATGGCTAAGGGGATTGAGTCGTTGCTGTTGAACCAGGGAAGCAGAGCTGACAGACCGGAGACTGTGAAGCCTGGAATTACTGAGCTGCCTCATCTGCCACCGTACACCCCAGAAACGGGGAGTATTGACCTGATCAATTGGGTTACCCATATTACGCCTATTATGGAGGACTTGAGCGATTCTTCCAGTGTGTGGTGGACTGCAACTTTACAAGAAGTGATGACATGCTCGATATTCTGTGGCTACGCCCTTGGAAAGGATTCAGCTTTTGCCTATGAGATCTCCTACCTCCAAGACTGAATGGGCAAGGGTGGAGAGGAGGGCTACGGCTATGATGTTGACTGCAATCCCGGCTACTATCAAGCAGGAGGTTATAGCTGCAGGAGATGTTACAACGGTGAATCTGTTGGCAAAGCTTTTTTCAACGTATCAACCTGGGAACAGACAGGAGAAGGCGCTGGTTTTAGCAAACTTGGAGAAACCAAGCGAGTGCAGCGATGCTAAAGGAGCTGTTGAAGCTCTACGCAAATGGGCTTTGTGGAGACGCAGGGCAATGGCCATTGGGATCACGGAGCCGGACGCTAGTGTGTTGCTGCAGGGATTGGATAGGATATGTGGCCTGGTGGTGAAAGCGGACACTGAGCTGGCCTTTCGGGTATCCTTGATCAGGTCCACTCTTCAAGTGGACACGTGTCCTACACCTGATTCTGTTACTCGGTTTTTTCAGCACTTGCAAGCAGAGCTGGAGCAGCAGGCCCGATTGGGGGTGGTACGTGGTGCAGAGCTTAATCCAAGGATGAAGGCCTTGGGAACTACACCTGAGGTCCCAGCGCCTGCATCGACCTCTACGCCAACGGGGACTTCACCGAAGCAACCACCTGGGCAGTGCAGATTCTTTATGTCAGAAAAGGGGTGCAGGCGAGGTAAAGAATGCCGGTATCCTCACCTGTGGTCCGCCTTTGATAAAGGCGAACGTGCCAAGCGTTGTCTTGTATGTGGAGGCACAGGGCATAAATCGAAGGAGTGCAAGGCCCCGGGAGGAGGAGCGGCTGGGAAACCCCGAGAGGGACAACAGACAGCAGCACCCAAGGAGAGTGCGGCTACACCGTCCTCGGCGCCCTCGAGTGGAAGTGCTTCACCTACGAAAAGGGTTGGTTTTGATGCCACGGCCGAGGTTGCGATGAAGGTTCTTTCGGTCCTTGAGGATGTTAAAAGGGTTCGAGCCTTTGCCCCACTGGTTGAGGCGGTGGATCGTTGGTCAAAGCGGTGGGCCCCTAGCGGCCGAACCGCTCTCATGGACAGTGGAGCCACGCATCCCTTAAGGCAGCCGCGAAACGAACAAGAATGGTTGGATGCTATGAATGTGAAGGTGGCTTTGGCTGGGGATGCAAAGACGACTATGAAGCAGACCACCTCTGGAACGTTGTTAAGTGGCGATGAACTTTCCCAGGTTATAGTTCCTCTGGGTCGTGTGATCAACTCGTTGGGCTATCAGTTGCGGTGAACAGCTGGGGATTGTTCGTTACTACGAGGCGAGGAGGAGGTGATTCCTTTGCGTATTGTGCGAGGCTGCCCGGAAGTTGATGAAGCAGTGGCACAAAGGTTGATACGAGAGCTTGAGCAAACTCATGTACCCCGCCTCGAGGAAGCCACCATGGAGTCCGTGAAGATCCTCAAGGATGTGGAGGTTAGTTGGTGGTCTTGCCTGTTGGAGTATGTGAACTCAGGGGATATACAATCTGGGAAGGAAAGTTTGAGGAGGGCTTTGTTTCTGGATCAGGATGATCGCGAGGAACTTAGCCGTTTGCTTCTACGTCATCCTAATGATGGTGGCTGGGAAAGCATGAAAGGCTTAGGCCTAAACAGGCGCACGAGAAAAAGTTTGATGCGGGCGTCTACGTGGGTGGTCCGCTGGGATCCCCCGGGATTTACGAGGAAGTCGGATGCGTTACAAAGGCTTGGGCGTATGTCTGAGGTTGCCTATCTGAATGTGGGTTCGCTGCAAGCTATTGGAGATTTTGGTGATGCCTGGAGGGTGTTGCTATGGGCGGCTACTCAGGGGAGGATTGGAGCTATTGTTACAAAGGACCTCGCGGCAACTGCATCTGAGCATGAGGCTCACAAGTCGCACAGAGCACGGGTTCATTTCCTCCATGCCCTGTCAGCTGCAGGAAAGTACTACAAAGGCTGTGCACTACCCCGCCTCCTCGTTGAACGTCGCCGTGGTTCCAATTGGGATTCCCTGGACTGGATGTGTGATGGTATAAGGCCCAGCGTTACATTGATGAAATGGGGCTACCAGATCCTATGTTTAAGGAGGAGAGTGCAGTGGAGCTAGCTGGAGGGCTGATTGGCGTTTTGTCAGCAGAACGCGGTGGCCGTGTGAAGTTGGCGCGGATGTCTGAGGACGCTGCATGGAGATTGCACGTCATGAACAACCACCAGCCTTTCAGGAGGGACTGCGCCCTTTGCGTGAGGAACGCGGCGACGGGGCGCCAACATCGGGCTACCATGCATCCCTCTGGCTATTGTCTTTCGGTGGATGTGGCGGGACCGTTGAAAGGGTTTGGACGTTCACCCGACGGGAAGTTCTTTCGTTACTTTGTGATCGGTGCCTTTCGGATACCTCTGTTGGATGGTGGTGTGGGCCGCGATGGCTATATACATGGATATGAAGTTCCAGAGCAACCACCTGATGAGGAGGAGGAGACGCTGTCTGAGGAGGAGGCAGCGCCGGATGAGGCCGAGGAGGAGTACGAAGGAGCCGATAGGCGTGACCTGGAACGGGAACGAGAAGAGTGGAAGAAGCTCAAGCAGTCGTTCAAGGAGCCACTGATGACAGAGACCCTCTACTTCTGCGTTCCTGTGAATTCCAAGAAAGCACTACATGTACTACCAGCGCTTCAGCAAATGGTGGTTGATATACGGGCGTTGGGTTACCCTGTGACAAGGATCCACTCAGACAGAGGCGGTGAACTACGTGGCAATGCTGTCAAACGGTGGGTTTTGGGCCAGGGCATACTTCGCACGACCTCTACGGGTTCCGAGCCGGCTGAGAATGGAGTTGCTGAAGCTGGAGTTCGTTATTTGAAGCGTCGTGGGCGTATACTTTTAGATTCAGCGGGTCTTGGCAAGGAGCACTGGCCTACAGCTATTCAGTCGGCAGCGTTACAACAGAGGTGTGAAAAACTGGGACTGATCAATCCAATGCCGGTTGCTTATGGCGCCAAGGTCTATGTGAAAACCAAGAAGTACAAGACGGGCGATGTGGAGAGCCTGAAACCCCATTGGATGCAGGGGAAGTACTTGGGGCCCTCTACAGATGTTCGGGGAGGCCATGTGATCTTGAAGTCTGTGGGGACCTTTCTGACTACAACTCACGTGCGAGTGGCTAGAGAACCTCCGAGGCTGGATGATGTTGCACCGACTATTGTGGTGGACCCTGAAGATCCACCTTTGCCACCTCCGGCAGAGGAGCCTGGTGGCGTTGGGTCACTTGAACA